TAAAGGCATAAAGGCCAAAAAAAAGAAGAAAGTGTGCAGATATTAAAATGGAACTGGTGAGAAAACTGAAACAAATCATGTCCAACTTAGAAGATACAACAGAAGGAAAAAAAAATTAACACACGTTTGAAACGTGGATTCAGTAATTTAATACAACAGAGAAACAGAGACAATGAAATGAGGTGTGTGTATAAAACTCGTTTTCAGTCATCACACTGTACAGTTCATGATGTGTTCTTGTGTTTCAAAAGTATTACTGGGTAGCAACAGCGATGGAGGCAGCAAGTCCAAACAGACATCTGCTGCAGCCGACGCATTCCTCAACACTAATAAACGCTCTGAGTATCCACAAGTTGTTCATTTGACGCCATGTCTCCTCTGCCCCCCCCAGTGCTGGAGAGGAAAATGTCCACTCGCCAGAGCAGAGAAGAGCTCATCAAGAAGGGAGTGCTGAAGGAGGTTTATGAGAAAGGTGAGAAAACAAAAGTGATCAATACAATCTGACAAGTGCGGAAACGACAGGTGATCAATCAGTTGACCTGATATTGTCCTTTTCATCAAGTAAAAATATTAAAGGTAGCAAAAAACGATATTAAGAGTCACACAAAATGAGTGTAGCTGTGGATATGTTTACTGAGGATTTTAAAATGTTGGTAAAGATTGGTACTTAAAACAGAGAAAAAGGCAGCTTTTACGGCTTTACCATTAGCGCTTATGTCCACACGGTGGCGTGCTAAAGTGCGCCTGGACGCCTCCAAGCGGTTTATCCAACCGCGGCCAACCCATGACGACCCGCTCTTTCTGCCTCTTGAGCTGCAGTTACATGCACACGGGTTTTCCTTCTGATTGAAGTTTTTGGGGTCTTTTTATATCTGGTGTGATCCAGTTTTTGCATATAATCAGAAGAGCTGTGTGACATACACAAATGTGCAAAGGAATACATTGTGCATTTTGTCTTCTCCGCAGCTACTTTTCAGCACCACCCTGGTTTCATTCATTATGACTTGTTTAAAAAAGTAATTTCGTGTTGTCCTTCTGTCAAGACGTCCAGTAAGAGCTCTTTAAGAGTTTCTCCGTGTTTATATGGAACATTTTTGTTCTGTTGGGGCTTTTAAACTGATTGCAATCAGAATACTGGGCTCCATGTGAACATAACTAATGAAAGCAGCTGATATTTGAGAACCTGGAAACAGTTTTTTGCGTGATTATTTGCTTTATTCATTAATTGATTACAAACACTGTTGGTGGTTGATTCTCTTGTCATTATCTTCAACACTTCTCGCAGCCCTGAATTGTAGTTTGAGGCTGCCTCCTCTGTCTTCCATTTACCTCTTTTAACCCTCTTCCCCCTGTTCATCCTTTCCTGTCCGTATAGACGGCGCCTCCCCGGCTTTACGAGAGGAGGTGAAGATGGAGAACGGGCGCTCTCCGGTGCTCGGCTCTGGCCTGTCGGACTCTGAAGGTACTGAGCTGATGGAAGGTGCAGCTGCAGCTGTAGGTAGGCAGCAGAGCCTCCCACCCTTGTTCATCTCATCTCCCAGCTCGTATCGTAGCGTCTGACTGTTTTATTTCTGTGTCCTCTCCTCCTCAGGCTCTCTGGAGTTTCAAATGCCTAGTGAGGGCGCGTGTCAGCAGGACCACGCCCAGAAGTCCAGCCAGGCTCCGCCCACAAAGAAGTCCAGTGTGTATCCGGGTGAAAGTGCTGAATCTACGCTCTCCAGACCTCCTCCACTACACAAACAACCTCCTGCACTACCACCTAAACCCTTCAACAGGCTACCTAATCACATTACAGGTAAGTTTGTCTTTGCTCATATTTAAGTCTGTGGCTCTGTTTATGAACGTCTAACCCTCTCATCATCCTCCCCCCTCTGTGCAGACGGTGCCCCGGTGAAGTTGCCGTGTATGTCGGTGAAGTTATCTCCTCCTCTACCTCCAAAAAAGCTCATGATCTCCATACCTGCAGGGAGCATGGAGCCCTCTTCACTCGCCTTCCAGAAGTGCCCCGCACCTTCCAGCCATGCTCCAATGGGCGGGCACTCCCTGCAGTACGGGGCGCTGCCCGTTTCCCTCCACCCCCCCAGCAGAATCATAGAGGAGCTCAACAAGACGCTGGCCCTCACCATGCAGCGGTTCGAGAGGTGAGGATCCAACTGTCGGAGTCAGTGTGGAAGTTCTGATGCAGAGATCCGAACCCAGAGTGCTCCGCTCGGCTTATCATATTTTACATAATCGAGGACCAGTTGTCCGATCTGTCGGAATCGTATGCCTCTGAGCTTATCGATCCTTTTACTGATGCTGGTCTGTTTTTATGACAGTTTGTTTGTGTGTACACTGCTGGAAACCTGCAATAAGAAGGGGTCATGGCGTAGAGCAATGGTTCTCAAACTGTGGGGCGTGAAGAGTTTGCTGATACTATTTCATTTATTCAAACATTTATTTCACTAAAATTCCATCCTTTATTAGTTGCTTACCCTATCATTGGTAATGATTGATAAAAATTCTTCTGGAGGGGGCACGCCAGAAAAAGTTTGAGAACCAACGGTGCAGAGTAAGAAATGTCTAAAACGTGGCATCCTTTCAGGAATGAAGAGGACAACAGTTGTTCCAATTTCCACCTGTGTGTTTAACTCCAATAAGAGAAAAAGGAACAATGAGAGTTGTGCTAGTTGTAATGTCAACTTATAATTTAAAACATCAGTCATGTGTTTGACATTTTACACACATTTGCCGCTGTTTCACAGTCAAGCAGCACGTGCGTTACTGGAGTTAAATATCCGATCTTATAATAAAATTAGGCTCAGCTTTGACTAAGAAAACCTCAATGAAAACCAATGCTGTACAAATATTCTCTAATTTCATTTTAGATGATGACTGTTGCTACAGCCTCTGCTCGGTTTTTACACCGCGTTCAGATAATAAGATATAGGCCTTTAATTAAGTTCTCTCCAAAAATGACATATATAAAACTATATATACATTCAGGTTTCTGCTGAAATGACTGCAGGTGGATGGAAAACTCCCACTGCTCTCTTATTAACGGAGGCCCACCGGTCACACCGCCTCTCCTCCAGCAGCTCACACCTCCACATCCATCAGTGTGATTGGTTTCCTGTCTGCAGGTTGATTTGACTCTGCTCTAGGCAGCTGTTGTTGGTCATATAAAGCTTACTGATGTGCTGTTTGGGTGTGTACCTGTTTATTTTTTACAAATCACTCCTTAATTTTACACCATTTTGATTCCAACTGCAGGCTTTTCTTTCCAATGGTTTGTTTTTAGAGTTCAAGTTTAATGATAGACGACCAAAACAAATGATTCCAGGGCCTCATCGGTCACAGCCATGTTGGTGGACTTTTCACACGTATTCCCACTCTAGATCACGCACATGCAGCAGCTCTCCTGTTATTTCACAACTTCATGCAACGTTGAGCACACACCTCCGCTCTGACCTTTGCCCTTTTTCCCACCGCCCCGTAGCTCCATGATGCACGCTGTTCCCACGGTGATGATCGAGTGTGACGACGACAAAGAGAACCTCCCCAACGAGGCGGACTACGAGGACCTGCCCGGTATGTACAAGGACGAGGACGACGAGGAGGAAGAGGAGGAGGAAGAAGACGACGATGAGGAGGAGGAGGAGGACGACGATGATGAGGAAGATGAAGATGATACATTGTTTACAAGTAGGTGTTTTGCATTCTCTCTGTGTGGTGTTTCTCGTTCCACCTGCTTCTTCTTCACCGGAGCTTTGATCAGAAGTGGCTTTCCAGTGTCAATTTGTATCATGTAGCAGCCACCTGTTGTAATCCGTTCTAATATATGTGCATATGTGTGCACATGAATTACGTTGTGTTTCCGTATGGTTGCACAAGCACAGACGTCTCACATGGCTGGAAGCTCTCTGAGCTGCAGTTTATCAGAGATGTGAATTATTTATCACAGGAGCATGTATGTAGTTTATTCAGCGTATTTAAATAATGTACACACAATACATAATACATAAGGAAAGGAGAAAAGGGTGTGTGCCTTAAGAGCAATAACCCAAGACAGGATTATAAAGACATCTCACCAAAAAGAAAGGGTCAAAATCTAAGCTGCAATTATTGATTTCATGTGGCCACTAGGGGGCAGACAGACATATTATCACCTTGTACAAATATTATGGCTAACATGCTAGCTTGGCTTCCACCAGCTCTTGAAAAAAATAGGTGTTATATGCTATAGGTGCAGTCCATTCATTTTACAAGAATACATCTTAAACTCAATCAAACTCAAACATTATTTACATCATATTACTAGGAATCTAACAATATATCACGAGACAGTTGCATCACACATATACGTGAAGATTGAAATTGGTGCGAGGAAAAATGAATCATGATTTTACTTTTGATTGTCCTTGTTCGACGTCCTACGACAGTCGCATCAGTAGCTGTATCAAGGCACAGAGACATCAGTTTCATTTTTACAAAGAGAAGGAAATATTCATTGTTTTGCACAGTTTATACTCTACCTCAGAAATAAAAAAGGATTCTATAATTTGATGAAGAAAATACATTTAGTAGATTTTTGTCTGAGAAATAAAAGAAACTTTGTCAGTCATTATTTATCTTCAGTGTCATTTTGTTAAAAATAATCACATCATGAACCCAGTATTGTGAGTTGAGTGTATCGTTACATCCCTACATATTACACTTTTACGAGAGCTTCAGGAAAAACGAGCACTTACAAGAGTTAGACAGCTGTTTAGGTCATTATCTGGAATCTAAACTGATCACAAGACGGAGATCTGTTTCTGCCTGGAAGCCTCGAGGGAAACCCTGAAATAAAAAGGAAAAAATGGAAAAAATATAACCACCAGAATTATGTGAGGTACTGGAAGAAAATCTATCCAGGCTCCTTACAGTCAGCTTGTAAGGTGAGAGTACAATAACATCCATTTTGCCTCCTGTATGATCGCTAAAGGCACACTGGCCATGAAGGTTTTACGAAAGGACTCTCTGGCCATCAAGCTGAGTAACCGTCCATCGAAGAGGGAGCTGGAGGAGAAGAACATCCTGCCGCTGCAGTCGGACCAAGAGCGACTCGAGTCCCGACAACAAACAGCCACCAAACTGACCAGGTATCACACACACACACACACACACACACAAACACACCATCATGCACAGGCACACGTTGCTCCACATGCAGGCCCAGTCACCTGCAAAGTGCTGAACCCACGTTAGCTGGGATAGATGTGACCTGGCTGCTGAAGGGAGCAGATGATGGATGATGAGTCATAACGGAGGGAGGAAGATTAAAGCCGAGGAGCAGCTGGACATGAGGAAAATAGAAAGTGGAGTGCAGTGTGTAGAAGAGCGGAAAGTGCAGCGGAATGTGCAGATACAGCAGTGTTTCTCACAATGATCATATAAAACTATCTTTAAGCATTCTTAATGCAAAAAGATAAAACGTCTTAAAACATTTATTTATGTCATAAAACGTTTGTTTGATCTACAATTTATCATCTCAGACACATCTTAAGACATCTTTCTTAAAACCTTTGTTTTTAACCATTATCAGGGTTCCCAGACTCACAGCAAACCTTTCAGCATCATAATGAACCCGAGACACTTCATCATTAAAAAAAGGAGTTATAAGACTGGACTTTGACTCTGCTCTGGTCAGAATAAATCCCTAATTCAGACGTGAATGATAAAAACAGCAGTTTCAATGCTGGAAAATGGAGGAGATTTCTGTAATATCCACAATGGAAATAGACTAGATAGATAGATAGACAGATAGATAGACAGACAGACAGACAGACAGACAGACAGACAGACTTTATTGATCCCAAGCTGGGAAATTACAATAACAACATATAGCCAAAATTGATGCAACACAACAAGATAAACACCAGCCTTTTTTGAGCTGATGTCAGTAAACTGAATATCAGCTGATGCTGTTTGGTGCATCCTTATAATCACCTCGTCACATATTATCACTGGAGAGGTGAATTTCATTGAGATTTCTCTAACTCTTCTAATGAAATGCATATCTTTAAAGTTTAAGTTTGTGGATTTAGTTAAATTGGTGTCATTAACCTTGAAAAACACTGTAGAGTAGTGTTAGCCAGCTGTGAAGAAATGATTTTCCTCCTCCACTGGCTTCTCTTTTGACCCCCAGTGCTCTCAACCTCCTGCTCTTAGCACCACTACTGTTCTCACTCGCCATCCATCATCCTCCCAACCGTATGAAACGCTGCACCGCCTCAGAGCCCCAGACTGTAAATTCACAAAATAGATCACTGGCAGTCAGCAAGTCAGCCCGGATGAGATTATTTATTAATCAGGTACAATTACGATGATCTAGAAATAAAAAAAACACACGATAAAAACAGATTTCCTGAAATAGATGTGTCACTGTTTTTCAGACGGCTGAGTCAGCGGCCGACAGTGGAGGAGCTGGAACAGAGGAACATACTCAAACGTAAGTAACGCTGCGTACAGTTGCGAGAGTGACGGTGGATATTTCTTTCTTCTATGTGTGATTTATGTTCTCGTTCTCCTTCCTGCCAGCTCGAAACGATCTGGAGGAGCAGGAGGAGAAGAGGGAGATCAAGAGACATTTGTCCAGAAAGGTAAGATGGACACGGAGTCTTTGATCAGTGGTAATTGTTTAGATGGTCGGTTCACGACCCCCGGCTGGAAATATGAACGTGGTTGCCGTGGTGACGGGACTGCCACCCTTCAGACTGCAGTCGTTTGAAAGGATGATGGTATTATCTGTTACATCATCCTCTCATTCTGTGAGAGAGAGAGCGATCGTCTTCATCTCAGTGACTCAGGTATTGATAGATGAAGCCGCTCTTCCACCGCAGAGAAACAATCACTTCAGTTTGGTTTCTTTCTGTCACTTAATACATATTTACTTATACGTTTTGTCTTTGAGATTCATCCAGTAAATCATCCTTTTTCATTTAAATGATATATATATTTTCTAGTATGAGTCATTGAGTCTGTGTCATCTCTAAGCAGGATATCTCTGGCTCCCAGTGTGCTTTAGAATTGTTTTTAAGATTTTACTGATCACTGTTAAGGCTCTACATGTAACATTGGTTTTAAAAGTGCAATACAAATAAAGATTATTATCATTCATTATATGATAATCTCAAAAATGACTTAAAATATGAGTTGAATTTGGTGGGAAATGGGAATGAGCCAAGGAACAAGTTATGTTTTTTAGAGGTGATCGGGGTGCAGATATAATATTTTTTAAGAGATTTATTTACATTTAAAGACAAATGAAGAAGAAAAAATGTTTTCCAAAAAAATGACTCTAGGGGTAGATTTAAATAAAGTAAGCATTTTCTATTAATTCAAATAAAAACGTACAATGTTGGGTCTTATTGCCAGAGTTATGCAACCTCTGTCTGCTTTCATTTTATTGATTATTCAACTCAAGTTATACAAAGAAAAAATAAGAGAAAAGAAGATTTAAAACCATAAATATATATACATTACACATAGAAACAAATTGCTTTTCCCATATTTTCTAACAAAGGTAGCAGCTACTTTCTTCTCAAGAACGTCAGCTTTCATTCGTCAGCGTGCACGTTGCAGGATGATGATGATCGGACTGACACTGCTCCTTTCTTTCCTCCTCTAGCTCAGCCAGAGGCCCACAGTCGAGGAGCTGAGGGAGGCGAAGATCCTCATCCGCTTCAGCGACTACGTGGAGGTCGCCGAGGCTCAGGACTACGACAGGAGAGCAGATAAGCCGTGGACCCGGCTAACAGCTGCTGATAAGGTTAACCTAACACACACAGCATACTCAAACAATGCTTAACTCTGGATTCAAGGAGTCTATACATATAAACTGTATGTAAATGTGTGTCGCTTTGTGTGTTCAGGCTGCCATCAGGAAGGAGCTGAACGAGTTTAAAAGCACAGAGATGGAGGTGCATGAGTCGAGCCGCCATTTTACCAGGTAAGGCAGAGTTATGAGGGTGTAGAGCTCGTCAGATATCAGACAACTAACTGTGAGATAGATTCAAATGTGAGAGACAACTTTTCTTTCAAACTGTTTGAAAAGTTTGTCCCGAGTGCGGTGCTGGAGTAAAATGTAAAGGGATTATCCTCTGTATGAAATCTCAGATTACATTGTTAGACTTGGCTCAGCCTTTATCAGTTTAAGCTGCACTCTTTGTCAGTCTCAGCTGTACTTACACTGCGCTACTGTCATATTGTTCAGACCATAATTGTGAGCAGCCGAGTGTGAAAACTGTTCAAATTGGAATTTCTGACAGCTGCCGTATCTCCCACTCTGCACAGAGCTACTGAAGTGTCAACAGACTGGTGGCAAAATAGCTGCCAGTGCTGGCATTTGCACTCAGACTAAGTGATTGTAGCCTAATAAAAAGGAGCTATAAAGTGACATTTAGCTGAGTAGCATTAAATAAATACAACAGAGGCTGGTTGGAATTCAGTCAGTAGTTTTAGAGGTTACCTGTCATGTACTTCAGTTAATATTTTGACCAGCTGTTGAGGCTAAAAGTCAAGATTTATCCTCCGGGTTCTTGCATGTCACATTTTAATGATCAGTTTGTTATGATATTTATTTATTTAAAGGACCAGTGTGTAGGATTTTGTGGCATCTGGCAGTGAAGTTGCAGCCATCTGAATACTGCTCATGCTTCCATACGTGTAGGGAGACTACAGTGGCTGCTAAAGTAAAAAAAAAAAACTCAAAAGGCCCTTTTTAGAGTCGGTGTTTGGTTTGTCCGTTCTAGGCTACTGTACATGTAAACATGGTGGCCTCCGTGGAAGAGGATCGCTCCCTCATAGATTAAAAACGTCTCATGGAACTAAGCTAATAGAACAAATGGTCGAGTGTAAACACTGAAATCTGTCAAAAAAGAAGTGCATTAAGTATGTTTGACGGTTAAAAATGAAGAAAATACAGAGATTTGTTTAAAAAGTTCAAAAAAATATGAGATCAACATCAAATCATCTACTAGATCTTCCTCCAAATCGCTAATTTTACACAAACTTCCTGCAGTTATTGTGTTCACTGTTTGGATTCATTGTGCAGTTTTTCAGTCGTCAGTTTACTCACTGATAGAAAGGGGGAAGAAGGTTGGGAACCACTGTTCTAAGGTAACAAAAACACAGCGATTCTTATTTTCTGGTGATTATACACTAATGAAAACATACCTAAGAATATTAAATTAAATTTCTGCCAATAGATCCTCCTCAATGTTACACACTGGACCATTAATTCTGGAGTAAAAGACCACCTGACAAACCTAAAGGTGCTAGCGTTTCTGAAACGTTACTCACTTCCTCTCTGTCATCCTGCAGGTTCCATCGGCCGTAAAGTGGTCGAGCCAGACCTTCGGCCATGCTTTCACACTCCCACACCGAGCCTCAAGTGTTCAGACCGCTACCTGCTGCCCTCGTACTGCTACCTGCTCCCCTTGCCAGCGTCGACTTCACACTGACAGACTGGACACAACCCGTGTGCTGCGGCCAGCACAGGAAACGGGAGCAAACGCTTCTACAAGTACAGATGGCTTCAACTCTCCACTGGCGGCTCCCGTCAGTGCAGACTTTACAGACCTCTTGATATTCAAAAGCTTTTATTTGTCCTTTTTTTTTAATGAGGAAGAGGTGGCGATTTGTTTACTTTGCTTTTGGGAGTCAAACACAATCTGTGCCGATTTGGAGGATGGGAACGGTAGGAGGTGAAGATGGGACTTCATTTTTCTGTTTTTTTACACAGGGATTGTTTTCTTGCCTTTCACCGTGTTCTCAGCTGGACTTAATCTTTCCTGGGGGGCGCGCTTGTGTTGGCACAATGTTACTCCACAGACGACAACTCGATGATCGTTTATCTCATTTAGCCAGAGGAATTAAAATATTTATAACAGCTTATGCTGTTGCAGGCAGCTGAATCTTAAGCCAAAATCTCCTAAAATCCGAATCAAAATCCCCAAATTCTCTCTGCAAGCCAGTAACAGTAAAACAAATATCCTCTAACACTTTCACACCAATCAACCGAGCAATAATTTCAGATTTTCTCCTCATTTGTCCGTGTTTATGGGCTGCATTCAAGAGCTCAGAAACCCTTTTCAGACGGCCATTTTAAACCAAAGCAACTTGACTTGCTGTGGAAGTCGCGATCTTGAATGCATCCCAGAGTGACTGCTGTTGAGAGTTCAGTAACGCACTGTGTCACTGTGCCTACAGTATTGTTTACACAGGGATTTAAAAGTTGCCAAATTAACTAGTTTCATTTGATACAGAATATTATCTGTAGACACAGTAAAATGTTGCCGAACTCTCTGCCAAACTACAAGAAAGAAGACTTTTTATTTCATTTTTTATTGTCTGAGATGAACCTTTGGCGGTACAGAATATGAAAACCCTGCCACATGAGTTTTTTATTGTTTACAGTCCACGTTAGGTTCATGAATTGGTGGTTTCTGACCATATTATTGGGAGAACTGGTTGATCTGTTGTGTGTGTTATGACTGTGTGTCTGAGTGTGTGTGTGTATGTATGTACAAGCGTCAGTAATATGACTGTCTCTTGTATGTTTAAAAATGTTTTGGGAGAAAAATATTCTCAGAATTATAAGACTTGTACATAGTAAAGAAAGTAAGCGAGACTTTTCAAATGTTTTTTTTGTAAAGCAGAAAAAACTGCATGTGAGTATTAATTTATTGTGAGTCTTCTATGATGTATGCAGTTTCTTAAAGAAAGAAACTTATTAAAAAAATAAGTTTATGCTTCCTTGCCTTTTTCCAAACAGGTTTCTTTTCTTTGCATCCGCTCCGTGTAGCAGCTGTTTCCAGTGTTCATGCAGTCGATTTCTTTCCACGTGCTCTGCTGAAAGCTGGGAATCGTCTTGTCGATATAAAGAGTGGCTCCCGGCTCCTCGGGCTTACTGAAAGTTGCCTGTGATGAGTTTTCGGTTCAGTCATGCAGAGATGAATCCCCACTGACACCGAACGCCACAGTCTGTTAGTCTCTCAGAGGAGTTAAGAGGTGCATCCTGGGAAAGTAGTTCCCCTGTAGGTGTGTGTGGAGCTCCGTGTGGCTACACAGCGTGCATCGGAGTGCCGCAATATTTGTGCCACAAGTCGATGGCTTTAGTCACAATGGCGTCTGTGTTTTCCTGCGGTATCTGGAAGGGAAAGGTTGGTGTGAGATTTTTACAAGGCCGCCTACTATGAGGACGACAAACAATGCATTTCTGTTTGGTGGACAACAGAGCGCGGCAGGAGTGAGTCCAAAAACCAGGAAGTGAGTTAGCATTTTAACACTTCTGGTTCCCTCTCCTCAAAGTCAGTGGGTTTTCTGAACGAGATGCATGAAATAAAGTCTGTGGTTACACAAGCTTTAAGAGATTTTCACATTTTGTTCTAAGACATAAAATACATAGATAAATAAGCCACACATCAATTTTGAAGCTTTTAAGTGTCTTAAAAAAGACTAGAGGTTGTTGGTGAACACCGAACATGGAAACTTATCTACTTACTAGTTCGCCTTTATTGCCACCGTGCTGTTTGTTTATAGCCTAATGTTTTTACTTCAAATCTATGCTTCAAAAATATAATATAAAAGTCCATTTGTTTGATTATCTTCCTGAACAAAACATGTAAGTATCATAAACTTCTGTTCGCCACAGAGTTTACTATCTGTAATAATCCCATTGGCTTTTTGTTGAAGGAACCAGGGCGAAGCTTCCAGGCGGGCCCCCTGCAGCACTCTATAACGTAACACTGTTGCGCCGTCAGTTACTCACGTTGCACAGAATCTTGACGACGCCTTCAGGCCGGTTGATGCCCAACAGTTTGATCTTGTAGCTGAGCAGAATCTCCAGGGCCACAAACACCAGGATCTTACAGGAGCCACTGATCACCTTGTCCCACACCCTAAAAACAATCCAAGTTCATTTGAACGCGGTTGAGAATTTAAGGTCAAACCTGTTCTGTACAAATGACGAAGCCTCTGCTGTATCTTAAAAACGATACCGCTTTCATTTCTGAAGGCTTGAGAGAAATGTATTTTTGACTTTAATAACATTCATTCAGACAAAGGGGACAGCTGTCTCTTGACTCTCACTCAGTCTGTAGCTTTCAGACATGTTTGTGCTAAGCAACAAGTTTAAATATTCTGCAGTGTATTTGTTTCCTTTGGTAAGCAACACCACAGTTCTGGTTATCTTCCTGTACCCCATAAGGCATTGCAAAGTTAAAGGTAAAGTCAAACACCATGATATAGTGTGAACAGGGACACAGCACGTACAGCAACTAATGTTAGCTATGTGGCTGAAGTTGCAGCTAACATGCAGAGAGGATGAAGCACATCTTGGTGAACTGAAGAGTAAAGCGAATGTCTGTGGGCAAGTCTTTTAATGTTAGCTGACACACAAATCCTGGCTGGAATAACAAGTTAGTGCTGGATATCAGCTGGATTCTGTTTTTAGACACAGAACTGAAAGCTAACCAACCATGAGGAAATCCTCAGGGGGAAAAAAGTGTGTCGGAATCACATTACCTAGAATTGCTTTAAGACTTTATCAATGCTAGTTCTTCCTTGTGTAGCAGGGCTCCAGTAAAAAAAAACAATGACATCCTTCTCATCTCTTTGTAACTGCAGGTCTGAGTGCTTCCTGACAACAGGATCAGATCAGCCTGACAGACGTTTTGGATAAAAGTTTACAACATCCTCCTTAACAATAATTATCAGGACTAATATGTTACTGCCTGATCACTTCAGCAAAGACTGATCAGGGTTCAACAAGTAGTCTGAGACGTCTCTTGGAGTCGTGGCAGAAACTGAAGGCCCCTTGATCATTAAATCTGACATTGTGTAGTCTGATTCCAGCGTGAATCAGCTGCACAGATTTAGGCAGAAATGTGGTTTCAAGTATAAAAGTTTTAATATTTTTCCTGAGCAGCTGCAGGGAAGGATTTTGATAATCCCATTCTGCTGAGGATAAAACAGGAATGTGTGAACCTTCGCTCTGTTGGTTTACTGAAAGTGTGCAGATGTGGTGATCAGCACCGTTACGGGAAACTGACCTCTGCAGGCTGGATTCGGGCAGGCAGCCAGCGAAGCAGCGTCTGAACCAGAGGCCGTAGGGCAGCTGAGTCAGGGATCCGCTGTTCTTCAGATGGTTCAGCAGCCGAGGCTCCTCCTGACTCAGATAATGCTCCAGGCTCTTCGGCTGCACCAAAGCACAACAGCAGGAAGCAACAAAGTCTCAATTCATAGTGATGCACATTGAAAAAGAATGTGATCCGAACTCCTGACTCCTCAGAACTTTGTCACATCAATTCTGACATTTTAGAAACTAAATTTGCACCATGATTCCTCGTATACTATGTATCTTCAATTTCACTTAATTTAAGTTTCTTATTTTTGATCTATGATCCTGATTTTATTGTTAATAAACGTGGGGTCCACACACTGAAAATGTATGAGTTTTGCTTGTTTAAAGCATATTCCATCCATTGACGAAAACCACACAAAGTAACTGAAAGCTGAAACAACATTTTTAGAGGCGATATATTTTTCCTTTGAGCTAAATGGGACACTCACCAGGTGGGGAACGGAGTCTCCAAACTTTGTGTGGAACTGATTGACGAAACACTTGATCAGCCAGTAGCAGTCGATGGGATCATCTACGATCTCCTCCATGGCTCGACTGATGGAGAGGAAGTCCTCGTTCTCTTCATCCTGAAACAACGCGTCAGTATCGTACATATCAGACCGGAGCAGAAGCTGCCACTGCTCACAGAGGATGCGGAAACGTGTCTCACATTTTAATTTATTTCATCTATTTTTGTTTAAATTGTTTGAAATTGTTCAAAATAAACTTCTGATTACATCCTTGAGGTATAAATTACTCAAATTAAAAAAACAAAGACAAACAGACGCAAAGGTTTTTTTTGTAATAGTTAAGTGTATATTGAAGGCACTTTTTAGACTAATACATAGTTTTAAAGACAAAACACTGAAAGCAGACATATTCAGGCTGATTTGAACACATTGTGCAGTTTCCCTGTGTAATTATGGTCCTGGATATATCTACTCGGTCTGTTACTGACTGAGAACACAAAGGGTTTTAGTGGTAAAGACTGTAAAATATGTCCTAACATAAACATGAACATCACAGGCTTAAGTATTACCAGCAATGTCATTAAACAGTCATTTTCAACTCACGCTCCGGGGTTTTATAATTATGCTTCATAATTAAAAGCTTGATGCTGATTTCAAATATTTGTGGGCTGCTCAGACAGGAAGCCATCCAGTAATTGCAGTAACTTCACAAGCCACAGTACGAGGTACAGTTTGTTATCTCAGTCAGACTTTAATCATGTGACGATGCCAGAACCGATAACTTACAGATGTAAATATATTTTTAATAAACAAGCATGCTCACATCACACTCAGCTTATTGTGTAATCTTGCTGAAATGTTATATTGTCTGGGAGGTTTTGTAGGTTTACGTTTAAAAAAATGTTAATATGGGCGCTTTTAATGCAATATATGAAGGCCCGGTGGGGTTTTAAGAAATAAAAACGATGGTCACATTCAAAATTCTCATCATTTTATCGCCTGTTTCTGTCACTATCTACAAACCTCTACACATCAGCTCGCTCACATCTCTGGTCCTACAACCTCCCAGTTACATCAGTCTCACATTCCCACTTTCTTCTCTAATTCTGCATAAGACCACCAGCTGAGCATCTAAAACTGTCGTATATAAATGGTTCAGCCCCCCCCTCGGTACCATCTGACCCACCCTGGATGCTTTATCAGTCTCAAATGTGACAATATCACTCTGGGTGTGCTTCATCTTACCGGGGCGGAGGTCTCGGAGCACCGTGGGAGCACCTGGCTCTCCAGCTGGAACATGCGCAGGTAGACGTGGGTGGCGGGTGTGGAAGAGTTGATGTATCTCATTACCTCCAGAGCCTCCAGGATGTCCTGGTACTGCTCCTTCCTGTAGCCTCCAACCCGAGTGTGAGAGTCACTGTGGGGAGGTAGGATGCCTGCAGGAACACGACAGTTTGTTTGGTATCACATTTAACATGCAACCATTACTGTGACGTGAGTGTGTGTGTGTTTCTTACCCAACAACACCTTCCACACGTGGATCCTGTACATGGAGGGGAGGGGGAACCTCTGACTGAAGGTGCTCAGCTTTTCTAGATCTGTTAGAAGGGTGAGAACATTGGGAACAGGACTTACACCAATCAAATCTCAACCACAAATATATGAGAAATATTAGTTGGTTGAAATAACAATTCGTAGTTCAGTATATTCGGGTGAAATGTATATAGGTGGTATTAACATCACTGAGAGGGTTCCCACTCTGGAACCTTTCAAAGACATTTTCTGGAGGTTTTTCTTGACAATACAGGACAGCACTTTGCTCAGGAACGATGCCATAGATGGCTGTGGATTTTTCCTCTTTCTGAGTTTGTCATGTGGACTGAAACGGGGACTACTTTTTGTGTATGTCTGCATGCGCAATAATTCATTTCTTACAGAGTATTACGCAGCATAACGGCAATTGAGTTTGGGTCTGTCTTGTAAGCTTGTAAGATGTGCCATCTCAAACGAACTGACGTCGTCCATATTAATTCATCAAGTTTCCATTTAAGCGTAGCATGAATTTGGCCACAGTGCAGCCTAAATACAATAAGAAAATTCCAGTATAACATAGATTATTTCCAGGATATTTAGTCAAACTAGTCCAACCCCAGTTTAATCTCTAAGCCCCCCTTTCTGTGCGTTATGCACTGTTACCTACCCAGAGGATTATCCTTGAGCAGTATCTCCAGTGATTTCTTCTCCTCCACTCCTCTGAAGCCCACCTTCTCATAATATGCAGAGCGGAAGTTTCTCTGAGGGTCGTCAGCCATACTTTGACCTGCTCAGTGACACCTGCACAACATTTCCAAATTACATTAGCTGTGGCTGCCAGAGAATCAAACAACACCACAACATTCGGTCTGTATCTTCCTGTTATTTATCATGAATATTTAGGGATAATCGTCAGGGCAGATACATTATCGGCCAATAACGGGGAATTATTATGAATTATTGGGATAATTTAATTATGGCCGATCATTTATTTTGAATTCTTATGCAAAACGATTAATAGGCTTAATGGTTATTAACTTCTTTTTAAAATACAACAATGTGAAATGATCAGTTATCTTATCAGTTATCGTACCGGCTGTAAAACAATCAATATCGTGCATCCCCATGACCCCTCACTCATATTTTAGAGATATTTCACATTAAAATCAAAACTGTACAATAAACTCAAACAGTGAGCTCAGTAACTGCAAGACGTTTGTGTTAAAGGAGTGATTTGGACGAATTTTGAGCAGATAACTTCTTGTTTAGGGAACTTAACATACAATTCTTTGTTTGAATTACTTATTTTTCATAATTTTTAACAATCACAAATACTAAAGAGGCTTCTTTTTGACGTTTGGCCACTGTTTATCAGACTAAATTTACTTTACATTAACTTTTCTTCATAGAAGTGAGATAAAATGCAGAAATATAGTCCTACAAGGTATATTATTATTATTATTATTATTACTTTAAGTTTTCTTACATGCGTTAAAATCAAGAAGGCCTCACGACCCCCCCCCCATGTAGCTTTGGCGACCCCTAGTGTACAGTAACGAATATGCAGTTAGTTTGTCACGTTATAAAACACAATCTGACAAATACTTCAGAAAGTAAATAATAAATATTAAGTGTGAGGACAAGCAAAGATAACATTAGGTACATTACAACACGTGTGTGTGTGTGTGTTAAATGACCTTAAAGTGGTGTTTCACTGTTTCTACCTCCAGCTTCAGACAACAAGCAAACGTTAACTACAGCGAGTACGACGCGTTTGTTGCGGTAATATTATATATTAATATAATATGTGACATTTAGGTGGATGTAATCGAAGTATAACATTTAAAAGAATAAACCTGACGACTCCTCGGACTGCTACATGCTAACCGCTGTTGTTGTTATCGAAACGCTTCCGGGTGGCACTGTCGAAGTAAAAACGGGGCGTATATTTGGTTATCTGATTCTGCTTATAGTATCAGTATAGTACCAACTTAGCCAAAGTATTGCACTCCTTAAATGCCTTTATCGGGGTCTGTCTACATTAAAAACTCATGTACACAACAACGCGAAGCAAGCAAATGATAAAGGTCCGAAATATGCTTTTATTTTGAAGGCAACTATAAAACAAAGCAAGCATTTCTTCCGGTGACGTGTCTTCCCCGCCCTTTACCCCCTTTTGTAGTTTTATTTATTTCTGAGGAGGTAATAGGATATAATTAAACCATCAATAAACAAACTCTATACCTTAGATGAGTGGTTTTTAATCCCCAGTAAGAGGAAAATGTTTATTTTTATATATTTTTTTAGAAGTTGCAACAAGATAGATAGATACTTTATTTATCCCGAGGGAAATTCAAGTATCCAGTAGCATACAAAATACAAAACATACATTAAACTAAAATTAAAAACCCTAACCCTAAGAATAAAATTAAACATAAAATAAAAGATAAAATATAAAATAAAAATGTAATTAATTTATGACATATATAATATAAAATTAACAGTAGCTACAGTAAACAGTGCAAATGGAGTGGAGTGCAAATGGAAGTAAAACAGTGCAAATGGATGTGCAAATGGAGGTAGAAATTGTCTATTGTCTATTGTCTATTGTCGTCCCCCTGCCTTTTACTGAGACCTGTTTGTACAGCCTGATGGCGCAGGGGGGACGAAAGAGTTTTCAGTCCTGTCGGTGGAGCTGGCTGGGACCAGCAGTCTGCCAGCTGAACACACCTCTCTGCCTGGTGAAGGTGTTGTGGCAGAGGGTGGTGGGCGTTTGTCCAGTATGGAAGCAGTTTGTGCCAGGGTCCTTCCTCTCCTGCCCACTGTCACCAGAGAGTGAACAGTGCTTATCGTCATCCCAGATACTGACTCTGGCTCAATGCACCAGTCTGTACAATCCGTGTTACATGTAGTAAGATATGTGTATTATTGTCCGTATTGTGTACTATGTGTAGTTTGTGTGTAGAATTCATGTCGAATGTGCTCTTTGTACAACTGTGAAAACGAATTTCCTCCACTGAGGACAATAAAGAATGAATCTGAACAAGGGAAGATTAATTACAATATGTTCCTAGTTTAATTATTGATTCACTATTAAGATTTTATAATCTTGAAACCCTTAAAACAGAAATACTCCAAGGGGAATCCTCTCAAACTGGGGTCCTTGGTCTAATGTGCATCTATTGTGGGAGTCCTTGACATTAAAAAGTTTGGAAACTCTTGCCTTCACTTTACTAACTAGAGGATTGCCTACTTTCCAACTTTAATAAGTGTTTTTAGATAAATAGGTTTTCTTTGTCTAGTCTGTTATTTGCCCTCAATGAATTATCCTTCCATTGGTATAGCCAACATGTCCAAAATGCACACATAAACAAGCAGCAAAGCCTACATTATATGGAAGATGATATGAAGTGTTAAATGAATTTCAAGCAATTTGGTCCAAATGAAAATTGAAAATATGATACTAATGCATATTTAGCTTTTTAATTTTATGATGATGACTTGTCTTTAAATTTGATTATTTGTAACCAAACTGAAATTATATTTTCATAACAGTATCATTTTCTATAATTAAGAGTTTTATTAGTACAATTAGTAAAAGAATTAAGGTTCCCTTCAAGTTGTGGGCTCTTACAACTAGGCTACCTGCACACTGTGGAATTTCTATATCTTACATGTAGTTATCAAAAATGTCCGGATTCTGTATGAAACTCGCTATGAATAAGAACAGTCGTGAAACCATATGAGCAAAATACTTTTGCTTTTATTTTGAGATATTAAGAAACTGTTACAAAACAAGCACTAAACAGCAAGAAACCAATGATTAACAACTGATTCAGTAAGAAAAAAAAATAGCTAAGCAAATATATGTCACCCAACCTTGCATCCATCCCCTAACAAAACAGTAATTTTAGATGTCAAATAAATGTTAACATAATACCATTATGTTACCAATGCAGAGCGTAAAATGAAATAACATTCCATGACAATTTTGAAAAATACATTTGAAATATGTGTATGCAAGAATATGGCAATCATTTTAAACCTATTTTAGAGGCACCAACAATTTTATTTTTAATCCAAATACCTTAAGATGGCTGCCATTAATACTTTCGCCCCATTTCCACAAAATATCTTGGTAGTGTTCATTTTCATGATCATTTGGACAACATCATTTTTAAAAAGATAGCAACACCAAAGCTAAAATCTAAAACTATGCGAAAAATTTTTTGTATCCTCATATACAACACACATTTTCTTTACTTTTTCTCAATTTCGTTTTGTCTGAACAATCAAAATAGTCTTAACAAAATCTGATTCATATGCAAGAAAAGCCTTAATGTGCAGGACCTTTTTTCTTGATTTATTTGGTGGATGTGTAGGAGGTGTAGCTAGATTGAAAGTAGCGATTAGCTGATGAGGAGGGGGAGCCCAAGTCCACACTGCTCCTGCGGGAGCTTCGCCGTGAGCCACTCCTGGATCCGGTGTTGGATCCCGGGGCAGAGGAGACATTGTAAGGGCTGCTGATTCCTCTGGAGGACACAGATGATGCCTGGAGCATTTTCACCCCAGTCTCTTCCTCCACCATGCAGTTGTCCAGAGCCTCCTTGTAAGATATCTTAAGTTTGCTCTTGGGGCAGGTCAGGTTCTTTATGTGATGGGTGTCTTGGAGCTTCTGGGCTGCTCTCCCATCTAGCCAGCCCATTTTCAAAGCATCCTCTATGGATCTTCTACAGCCCATTTCTGGGTCATAAAGCCCCCCTGTTACATACTGGAACTCCATGAACCTCATCCCTGCCTCATATGGCAGCCACATCTCCTTCAAAGCCTCAGCGGCAGACATCTTCTTCCTGGTTTTTACATCCTCAAAGCCAATGTAGGCTTTCTGAGCAGGCTTTAGCAAAGCGACCATGTCTTCGTTTATTATACCTAGGCGGGAGGCCTCTTGGATGCCAAACCTCTGGCCATTTGTGGGATTGATGATTCCTCCAGTGCAGGCCTGGGCCTCCAGTAGTCTCTGGGCAGTGATGGAATCCACCAGACCACGATTTAGAGCCTCTGTGATGGATATCTTCTCTAGAGCCTCTGTGTCAAAGATGGCACCCACAGGTTCCTGTTCACACACAGTTTCGACAGGGGAGGCCAGAGTGATAGAGACACTGGATATATTCCTAAAGCTGTCAGGTGAGTCTCGAGATACACTGCTTACTGCAGCACTTCGCTCTGTGACAGTGGTAGTTCTTGTTGTGGTCATCTTGGCGAGTGTAGGTGATAAGGGTCTTGACAGGAGTGATGATGATGACGATGATGATGATGATGTCACTGATGGTGGAACTGAGACTTCTGATGTTCTTAAAGTTGATGATGATTTCACTGAGGATGTACCTGTGGCTGCTGATGATCTTGAAGTTGATGATGATGATTTCACTGAGGATGTACCTGTGGCTGCTGATGATCTTGAAGTTGAAAATGATGATGATCCATGTTTGGTCTTATCAGTGATGATATCTGCAAACTGAGTAAGGGTAATGATACGGGATCTGTACTGATCTAGATCTGATTGATTAATTACTCCCTTTTCAAGGAGTTCGGTAATGTCATACTGTCTTCCAGTCTTTTTGTCAATGATAACAAACCGTGTGGAACCATCTGGAGCAGTGATAGTGATCTCTTCCCACTCACACTCCTGTTCAGACAGCTCCCGGAAGGTGTCATAGTCAATATACCCTTTGTCATACGCTTCACGTACTGTCATCTCTTTATTAGTTTCTGGGTCCACAATTACCACTCTCCTCTTTCTCAGAGTGTTCTTCTGAGTCGACTCTAGCTTTTTCTTGTCCATGATAGGCAAAAGGATGAGGCCAGTCTTCTTATCTGTGATACAGCGTTTCTTGAGCTCCAGATAGGTTAGGTTTTCCTCTGTGTTAGGGTCAAAGAAACCCTTAGAGTCAACGCTCTGATCAGTCAGGATCTTGTTCATTTTCTCATCAAAGTAACCTCTCTTGTAGGCTACATTCACATCAATACGATGGCTGTGTTCAGGATCAATGATACCTCCACTGGCAATCTGGGCCTCTAGCAGACGGATGCCATGACCCTTTTCCACAAGACCTCTTTCTATGGCCTGAAAGAGTGAGATGGTCTTGTCTGTCCCAGGAAGCTTGTAACCAGTCACAGCCCTCTCTGCTGATAGCAGGTTGTCCTTAAACTCTGGCCCAAACAATCTTTTATTGTAGGCATCACTAACAGTCAAGTAAGTGTTGTTAACCGGATCAACTATAAAGCCTGAGGCAGCCTGGGCCTCAAGCAATTCCAGAGTGGTCCCAGGGCGTAACAATCCTTCTTTCATGGCCTGATAGATGGTGATCATCTTTTCATTGGCCTCATCATAAACTCCTGCTATGCAGGTAGAACCTCTCAGGTATGGGCGCAGGCGGTCTTCAATGTCCCGGCTTGTCAATCTGCCCTGCCTTAGTTGGTCCATATCTGAACATTTCAGCAGGTTTGCATCCACCAGATCCATAACTGATACCTGGCCCCTGAGCCCCTGGACAGTTATTGGCTTTTTAGGTTCAGGGAGAAGCAAAAGACCTGTGCTTGGATCTGCTTTGCATTTTTTCTTCAGAGATACATAGGTAGTTGCTTGTTGGGTGTCTGGGTCCAGATAGCACTCAGGATACTGATTCAGGGCCTGGTATAGGTCCCCATCTATGAGATTCCTATCCTTGGCGATGTCTTTGGGTAAGAATACACTCAGGGTAGGGTCCAAAATACCCCCTACAGACTGTTGAGCCTGAAGTATACGTAGAGCTGTGTCCCTGTCAATTAATCCCTTCTTCATGGCCTGGCCAGCTGACAGGAGATTGGCAGAATTTGGGTCTCTGTAACCTATAGCAGCAGCTTCCGCTGCAAACAACTTTG